CCTGGCAGACAGCCCACTGTTCCCTACTGAGAAGAGTGGCAGCTCAGGTGAGCTAGAGCACAGATGGCAAGCATGGGTTCAGTCAGCAGTGCAGAGCCTGCTATGCTGGCTTGCAGTTAAGGCTCAGCAGGTTGCCAAAAACTAAAAAAATAAATAAAAATTCTCTCTTTCTTTAAAAATTAAAATAAAATAAAGTCTGCTCTAAGGAAGACAGAGGAGAGTTTTATTTTTGACCTCAAATCTCCCATCTTCAGGGGGCTCAGGGACACAACTTCACAACTTTTAGGAGAGTGGGACAATAGGCAGGAAGTACACACATACAGATGTAATTAGGCTGTGCTAGTTGAAAACAAAGTCTGGCTGTCCCACCATTTCCATTCTCACATGAAAGATCTCCAGGAGCAGAAAATCAGATGTCAGGAAGTAGCTTTTTAATTTTATTATTTTTATTTTGTGGTACTGGAAATTAAACCAAGAGTCATTTACTTCTAAGCTATGTCCCCAGCCCATTTTATTTTATTTTGAGACAAGGTCTTCTTCCTAAATTGCCCAAGCTGGCCTTGAACTTGCAATCCTTCTGCCTCAGACTCTCCAGTTACTGGGATTATGGTGTGTACACCATGTCCAGCTCTGTAAGTCAGTTGGTGGGTGAAGGAGGCTGACAAGATATTGCCTTCTTAAACAAGAACATGAAGAATTATATATATACTTACTTAGTCTTTCTTTAATGTCTTCCAGTAAGATTTTAATTTTATTTATTTAAAAAATTTTTGTTCTAATTAGTTATACATGACAGTAGAATGCATTTTGATACATTGTACACAAATAGAATACAACTTCTCCTTCCTCTGGCTGTACATGATACAGAGTCACATCAGTAGTGTGATCATACATGTATACAGGGTAATAATGTCTGTCTTGTTCCACTGTCCCTCCCATCCCCACATCCTCTCCCCTCCCCAAGATTTTTATTTCTTGCACACAAATCTTTTGGCTCTTTTGTTGGATTTATTTCTGAGTATTCTGCAGTTTTCATTGCTATTGAAAATTATGTTGTTAGAAAATAAGTTTTGTGGGGCTGGGATTGTGGCTCAGCGATAGAGCGCTTGCCTAGCACGGGCGGGACCCAGGTTCGATCCTCAGCACCACATAAAAATAAAGGCATTGTATTGTGTCCATCTACACCTAAAAAAATAAATATTAAAAAAATAAATTTTTGGTAGTTGATGGTTTATAGAAATACATCTAGGAGGGGCTGGGGATGTGGCTCAAGCGGTAGCGTGCTTGCCTGGCATGTGTGTGGCCCGGGTTCGATCCTCAGCACCACGTACAAACAAAGATGTTGTGTCTGCAGAAAAACTAAAAAATAAATATAAAAAAAAGAAAAAGAAATACATCTAGGAATCTCTCCCTCTGATCCATGGGGAATTGGTTCTGAGATTCTTGAGGTTACCAAAATCCACAGATGCTCAAGTTATTCATATAAAATAGTATGGTCTTTTGAAAGAAAGCTGTCAGTGGAAACTCCCAGTAGTTCAGATGTTGGATTTAGCAGATAAAAACTTCAAAGCAATTATTTATCTATCCATCTACCTATCTATATACACATGCACACATATCTCTTTCTATATATATACACACACATACATGTTCATGGAACTTACATAAATCATGTTAAAGAATTACATGGAAATACAACAGTTATTTGTCAGAGAATTCCAATAAAGGCATATAAATTAGAAATTATCTTTAAAAGTCCAACCTAATGGAAATTCTGGAGTTCAAAAAATACAATAATCAAAATGGAAAACAATTACTAAGAGGGGCTCAACAGATCTGAGCTAGCAAAGGGAAGGATCGGAAGGATCAGCAAAGTTGAACATGGATGAATAGAAATTATCCAATATGAAGAACAGAAAAGAAGCTAGGTGCAGTGACTCACACCTATAATCCCAGAGACTAGGGAAGTCAAGAATGGAGGATCACAAGTCAGAGGCCAGACACAGCAACTTAGCAAACCCTGTCTCAAAATAAAAAACAAAATGGGTTGGACTAGGGATGTAGTTAAGTGGTACAGCACAACTGGGTTCAATCCTTGGTACCCCCTCCAAAAAAGAAAGAATATGCACAAATTACCCAACATTACACAGTTTATCCAGCAATCAATCAGAGTTTTCCTTATACTCTCACCAATACATAGTTGATTTTTAATAATTTTGGCAGTAAAAGAAGGTTCAGAATTAAGATGGTTAAATTGTTTTGTTCAAATCACCATTTGGAAGAAAAGTCATGCATTAGAATATTTTTAAATAGCCATGCCTTAGAGTATGACTATACTCTAATTTTAAATTTGGATGCTTGTATGATCATCTTAGTCTTGGACTCTTATAGAGCAAGTCTTTTCTTCCTTTCTCAGAGCATCAGTAATGTTAAATTATCATTTGTGAAAGGTTTTGAAAGAAGAAATTATAAGCAGTCCTGAGGTGTTATACCCACACCTTTAAAAAGTCAACTCCCTTTCTTCTGGTTTTTACCCACAGATGTTGCAATTTGTTTTTGTTTGGAATTAAAAACAAGTGTCATTCAGCTCCATGAAACATATTCATGTTGACCACCTTTCCTTTGACCAGGACATTTTCATTGCTTGGTCTTGGCAGTACACATTTCTGGATAATATGAATTTCCTACATTTGCATCAAGATCTGTAGGAACTAGAAATATTCTGTAGGTGAGCTGACTTGAGCAGCTTGAGATAGTTCCATGGAGGCAGTACCTGGGTTCCATCCTTGCCTCTGCCAAAGACCAGCTCTGTGACCTTTATCTAGTTACCTATTCCTTTCTCAGTATCTTCATCCATAAAGAAAGGACATTAAATAAGACCTACCCCACCTCTCCTCAAAGGGTTACTTCAGGGGAATAATAAAAAGTGAGACAACAGGTAAAAAGCACTTTTAAATTTTTTTTATTTTTTAGCTTTAGGTAGAAACAATATCTTTATTTTGTTTTTATGTGGTGCTGAGAATTGAACCCAGTGCCTCAAGCATGGTAGGCAGTGTGCTACCACTTGAGCCACAAACCCAGCCCCCACTTTTTTTTTTTTTTTTTTTTTAAGGAAAAAGAAGCAAAGGAGAAACAGAGGGGACTGCTATCCCAAAGGCTGTGATTCTGCCCATTAGTAGGAATAGGGGTTTTATAAAAGTGATTCAGAGAAAATAAGATTAGGGAGGAGAGATCAGGAAGGAGAAGTTTAGGGAAAAGAAGGTCAGGAAGGAGAAGTTTAAGGAAAAGAAGATCAGGGAGGAGAAGTTTAGGGAAATGAAGATTGGGAAAAAGAAGAAAATAGAAAATAACATGAAGCTTCAAAGCCACAAGGGATACAGTCCAAACATCAAGTGAACCCCTGTTATAATTTCCCACTATCAATTTCAGGTACTTCCTGCTAAAAGATGGTGAAGTTGAGAGAAGTAACCCAAAGTCCTTGTTCTCTATCAGGTGAGTCATGGATAGTTAAAGGCATTCAGTGTCAGAGCAATCCAGAGGTCTGCAGATAGCAGGTGATTAGACAAGGCATACATAGGTTAGGGAACATGCAAATGGCCAAAGTTGTAGCAACTTTCCTGAGTTCAGTTTCCTTTTTCTCAAAGTAGAAGGTGGGAGTTCCCCAAAGCAAAAGGAAGCTTCAGCACTTGCTGGGCCAGTCCCTCAGCCCCTCCCTTTAATCACAGGAACAGCTCCTCTGGTTTGGTCCAAAGCAAACTCACACTCCCAATTTCTTTAGCAGTTGGCTCTCAACAAACTCACCAATACCTTGATTCCTCAACACGGAAGCGGGGTTCCTTGGACAGCCAGGCCTGACCAAGAAAGCTGGTGTGGAGGCTGCTCTTGGGTCCCAATATGGAGTGCCAAATTGTTCATGAATGCTCGGTCCTTGTTCCAATCCAATAACAGGACACCGTTTTGAGAAAAAGGAAAACTAAGTTTTACTGCTTTGGTAGCAAAGGAGAAACACAGAAGATTCCTGTCCTAAAGACTTTGATGCTTTAAAAAGCACTTTGTGGTCCCTCTTTTTAAATCTTTGCCTTTATCTGTATGTATTTGCATAATAAGTGTTTATATCATAAATCCAAATATCAGATGTTATTAGAGGTCTTTGCGGAGGATGAAGAAATGGGGAAGTCCTGGAATGCCATTTTCTTTTAAGTTAACAATATCCATGCCAGAAAGAGCATTGATGACTGCAGTACTCTGAGGAAATCTGGGGAGTGGAACCCAGATAAGATATGGTTCCAGAGGGTCCAGACCTCACAGGACATAATGAGCTATGAAAAGTAGTTTGAGGGGCTGGGATTGTGGCTCAGCGATAGAGCGCTTGCCTAGCACTGGCGGACTAGATTCTCAGCACCACATAAAAATAAAGGCATTGTGTTGTGTCCATCTACACCTAAAAAATAAATTAAAAAAAAAAAGAAAAGTAAAGGAAAACAAGAAAAAGTCTCCTATGAGCCAGGTGCAGTGGCGCACGCCTACAAGTCCAGTGATTCCAAAGCCTGAGGCAGGAGAACTGCAAATTGCAAGTTCCAGACCAAATTAATTTAGGGAGATCTTGTGTCCAAAACAAAACAAAAGAAAACAAAGAAAGAAAAAAAAGCTAGGAGTTTGGCTCAGCGGTAGAGCGGTTCAGTCTTCAATGCGGGGTGGCGGAATCCCTAAGAGAGCACGTTTAGCACGCCAATTCTACAGAAGTAAGACAGCCCCAGGCACTTAAGTGTTAAACGCACGCCTTCACCGTTGGTAGAAGACTTCGCTTTCCACACTCCGCCGAAGTTCAGGATTGCAGGTTCCCAGCCGTAGCCGCAACTCGGGTAAAAGGTGGGCGGTGACTCGTGGGGGGGGGGCTTTTGGCTCCGCCCCCAGGCCTACGCGCGCCCCGCCCCGGAAACTACACTTCCCAGTAGGCCAAGCACTGGCGCCACGCATTTCCTCCCGGCATTCCCCGCGGCGGGCAAGAGCCAAGCGGGCTCTAGACCGACGCGGCCGTCCTTCGTAGCCGCCTCCACCTCGGTAGGACCTGTCGCGGTCGCCCGCTTGGCCACCATGTCCGCCCAGGCGCAGATGCGGGCTCTGCTGGACCAGCTCATGGGCACGGCTCGGGACGGTGAGTCTGGGCGGCCGACCAGGCGAGGGCTGGGGCGAGAGTGAGGCGAGGCCGCCGGGCGGCCCGAGGCGGGGGCCATGGCCGTCTGCGTCTGCGCGGGGCTCAGCGCCCCTCCCCCGCTCGCGGACAGCCGGCGCCGGGCCTTTGTCTGAGCCGGTTCGCCTCCACCGAGCCCGCGGCCGGGCTCCCCGTGGGCCGGCCGTGGGTCTGGGGCAGGCTTTTTCCTCGGAGTCCGCGCGAGGGGCTCCTGCGGCTTCCCGTCGGCGCAGCGGCCCTGCGCCCCCTCGCGAACCGGAGAGTCGGCGAAGGGCTGGAACCAGCACGGGCTCTGGGTCGCTGGCAGCCAGGCGGCGGAATTCTCTGTGGCTCCTCAGGGCAGAAGAATGGGCCTCGAAACCCTGGGGCGTTCTGTCCTGTACCATTGAAGGGTAGCCATAAATTGAGCTTTTCTAACGTGGGTTTCTGTCTAGTACTTCTCCAGCCCCTCTTTCCCCCAACCACACAGGAGAGCCTCTGCTTAGGCAGCGCTTGGCGGTCGTTAGGTAGGTTGTACTGTAGGGAGGAGCGAAAGATCATGGTTGTCTCAGGATAAAGCGGTTGCATTCTTGCAAAACATATACCTGCTGTGGTTTGTTTCCTTTTCTACTGAAGTAATGAAGTTGTAAGTTCACACTGGCACATTCTCAGGGCTGTGCAGATTCTTTGCACTTTATTTCATAGGTGAATAAGTGCTTTTTAGCTTTCTTTGTTTATTGAGTTGCTTTTGAATTGCTTCCCATATTTTTATTTCATACAAACTGAACAATTGTGGCCCCTCTATTTTATTTATAAAGGTTCAGTGTATCTTTGCCTGCCTACATCAATCTGCAAGGGAGTTGCAGAAAAGCCTCATGTTCATCGAGCCGTGAGTCACAACCAATTTCTAAGCTGTTATAACAAAAAAGTGTTTGCTTTTTTTCACAAGTAACTTTAAAAGTGTAGTTTAGAAAGAAAACATTTTCAATAAAAAGACACTACATTAATCCTGGATGCTTGCAAATCCTAAAATATATTCCTCCTTGACTATTACACAGCTCTGTGTCCTATACACAGATTAGCTTTAAAATTTGTCACATACCACTTTGCCTTTACTTTTATGTATCATTCCCCCTGACTTCCTTACTGCAGGTGTGGGCAAGAAAACTTTTCCTTTAAAACTTTTCAACAGCGGGCATAAAATTCTACAGCTGAGGTCTTGAAGAATGCAGATGGGTACAGTATGTGTTGGAGCTCACAGTGTGTATTGACTAACCTAGTTCCTTTTTGCTTTTTTTGGTATTGTCTTGTTAAAAGTGACTCCCAGGTGCCAACTTTCTTTTTTAAGGGTGGGGATGAAAGGGGAATGAGAAAATAGATCTAGATTATTTAACAGTCAGTGATAAGAGTTTGAAACCTTTCTTCTTTATGTAAATTTGGGCAAACCACCGCTTTTGTGTTTCTCCATAACAAAAAGATTAAGCTAATAAGTAGATTTTGTTTGTAGAAATTATCAGCTATAAGTCACACAGTTGATTGATGGCACTTATTGGTATCTCACTGCCCACATGTATGTATATTAGACAATGGCCTTTTGGTGCTCAGTCTTTTACTTCTGACTCCTTGACTTCTTTTGGCACAAAGATGGAGTCAGATATCATTGTGATTCTTCATGGTAAATTTGGCCTCCAAAAAAAATTCTGTATTCTACTCCAGTTGTAAATGTCTCTAGATCAGCTTTTCAGTATATGTGATGGGGAAAACACAGAAATGATAGTCTGCAAATCATCCAGGTGAATTGTTGTACCAGATATCCTTTTGTGATTAGCCTGATAATATTGTCTTATTTAAAACCACAAATGAATTTCAGGAGACGAAACCAGACAGAGGGTCAAGTTTACAGATGATCGAGTCTGCAAGAGTCACCTTCTGGACTGCTGCCCCCATGACATCCTGGCTGGGACGGTAGGTACATTTTTGGGGACCTCATGAAATACTCACCCTGGGTGTTGTGTAGAAAGTGAAGGGTTTTCAGGTTAAATTTTATTTTCCTCCAACAGGCAGAAATTACTTGCTAATTTTCAAGTTAATGTGGTGGAATTTTATGTTATGGAACATATTTCAGTGGTGTGAAATTCTGTTTGTAAAGCTATCAAGTTTTTGTAAAATCATTCACAATGAAATACATACACCTAAGTAGTACAAACATTCTAATGTAGCACAATATGCCCTTTATGTCAGCCTGTAGTTCTTTGAAAATTCTGGATGGATCTGTTTGTATGATTACAGGTTGACTATATTCTAGGCTCTTTACCAAGCAAGGTACATTTTCTTCTCATATAGTTTTTTTTTTTTTTTTTAAAAACAGTTTGGGATAGCATTAATTTTTTAGTTTTTATTATATCAGTTTTTTGTGAAATCCATAGATTATCCAGTGACTGTAGACTCTATTTCAGGTGAACAAAATGGATGCTAGTTTTGTGGAATTTACGTTTATTCAAAATTAAATACAATTTAAGAAGAATAAGTGGTGAAGGATCATCTGTTCATTCACTTAAAGCAAAAAGTGTTCTACAAAAGATCCCCATTTTAAGTCTTTACGGCTACCTTGTGGAATGTAAAAACTGCCCACTTGTGTTCCAGAAAACATTTCTTCATGGTGAATCATAGCTTCTGTTATTACCATGTTGGGGACATATCTGCTGAGGAACTGCTCAGCTATACTAAGACTTCAAGACTGGCATTTCTGGCCATAGACATGAAATGAACACCAAACCTATGCCTGGGTTACTTGGGTCCTGCTTGCAGTCTAACCCAGGGTAGGAAAACATCATACTGTTATTTTCTGTAGCATATTGTGAGTAATGTGTGCAGATTAGTAATCTCCATTAATGATGAGTAGTTCAGCAATAGGATACATTCTTGTGTAGGAATCACAACTTGGAAACATTGACAAATCCATACCAGAAAAAGGCAGAGAAAGCAGATGGACATGAACCCTACTGAGGATTTCAGTCATATTTTCATTGGTCAGAGCCCTTTGGCATTGCTCTGGAACACTGGCAAGAAAAATAATCAGAATAAGGGTTTCCTATAGGTGCTTTTTATTAGGTTAAAAGTTATTTGCTTAATATTTATTATTAGACCACTTCTGTGTGCCAGGTGCTAGAGATACCAAGCCAGTGGTAAAATCCACAGTCTTATTCAGTGGGAAAGAGGGTGCACAGCAAGTAGATAACTATCTGTTTTAAGCTAGGATAATATGGAAAGGCTTCTGAGGGACATTTGAGCATAAACCTGAAAGGTGAAACCACACATGAGTGTGGTTCAGGGATATCATGTTCTGGGTGGAGGCAAGATCAGAGGGAGTGTGTCTGATCTGTTATGAGGGAGGCAGAGCTGTGGAGTTAGGTGAGTGGAAAAAAGTCATGGGCTTGGTAGATCACTGTAATGCTTGAATTAGGCAAGATATCTCAACAGAGATGTTTAATTAGAGCAGGCTGAGGAGGAGGAGGAAGAAACCCAGGAAGTATAGATGCACATGAAAAAAGTGCTTTGCAAAGGTCAGGGGCTGCTGAAAATAGGGTGAGGATTGGGAATTCTAAAGGAGGTTGTGAGTGTTGAGCTTTGCTGTGGACTTTTTGGAGGTGAGGTATAGTGGAACCAGATCACTCTTCTGTACAGTTCTTTTTGCAGTACACTGAATGAACTTAGTTCTTTAGCAGCAGAGATAAAGTATTTATAATCCTCAGCCTGCTAAGAGCTGCTCCTGGTCCAGGTTTTTGTCAGACTCTCTCCTGTGGTTAATGGGGTGGGTCAGGGGTAATGGAAATAATTATTGAGGCCTATGGGAAAATGTAGTGAGTTTGGAAGATGAAAGTAGCAATTGGAGGTAAGGTGATGTACTAGGTCTTGGTAGAACTTCCATTTTCTGAAGATTCAGGCACCTCTAGTTGCCTTCCTTGTCAACAGTGGAATTTTTTTAAAAATTTTTTTTAATATTTATTTTTTAGTTTTTGGCGGATACAACATCTTTGTTTGTATGTGGTGCTGAGGATCGAACCCAGGCTGCACGCATGCCAGGCAAGCGCGCTACCGCTTGAGCCACATCCCCAGCCCCAACAGTGGAATTTTTGTTTGTTTGTTTTTTTCCCCCCATTGGAATTGAACATGGTGGTGCTTTACCATGGAGCTATCTTCCTAGCTGTCTCACTAAATTGCCCAGGCTGGCCTTCAACTTGGGATCTTTCTGTTCCAGCCTCCCGAGTTGCTAGGGTTACAAAGTATGCACCATCACCTGGCTTTCTTTTTTATGGTACTCAATCACTGAACAAATCCCCAACCCTCGGGGCTGGGGATGTGGCTCAAACAGTAGCGCGCTCGCCTGGTATGCATGCAACCCGGGTTCGATCCTTAGCACCACATACCAACAAAGATGTTGTGTCCGCCGAGAACTGAAAAATAAATATTAAAAAAAAAAAAATCCCCAACCCTTTTTATTTTACTTTTGAGACTGTTCTTGCTAAGTTGCCTAGGCTGATCTTGAACTTGTGTGATTCTCCTGCCTCAGTACTCACTACCAGTTGGAATGTGTACCATCATGTTTGGCTTTCTGTCAGCCATGTTAGACCACCAGAGCATAGAGTGGAAAACATAGGTGTTGGAACTATATCTCATAATAAAAAATGGTCTGACACATTGACTTCATAGCCAAATTGGAGGATTTTGGAAGAATTTAATGTGATATATCAATTCAGCTTGGTGTTTCAGCCACTTGTGGAATGGCCAGTGTCTTCTTGCTTCCTTGACATAGCTGGAAAGGTATACCAAAAAAGGTAGTCATGGATCCCAATCCTGTACTTGTACTCTGTTTTAGCAGTGACTTTTTTCTTTTTTTGGTACCAGAGATTGAACTCAAGATTGAACGCATGCCAGGCGAGCACGGTACCACTTGAGCCACATCCCCAGCCCCAGTTTAAAGCATTTCTTTCTGATATTCCACTCATTTTTCAGCTGTAAGCACTTAGTTCCATTTATGGAAATTATGTATCTATCTGTCTATTTATTTTTGGTTATACTAGGGATTGGCCCCTGGGTACTCTACCACTGAGCTACATCCATCTTCCTCTTTATGTTTGAGACAAGGTCCTGCTAAATTCCTCAGGCTGGCTCAAACTTGCAGTCCTTCTGCTTCAGCCTTCTGAGTAGCTGGGATTATAGGCCTGGCCCACCACACCTGGCTGAATAGTAAGTACCCAGGCCAGGTGAAGTGACACCTATAATCTCAGCTACTCAGGAGGCTAACGCAAGAAGATCACAAGTTTGAGGCCAACCTTGACAATTTAGCAAATCCTGTCTCCAAAAAAAAAAAAAAAAAAGAACTGAGTGTATAACTCAGTGATAAAGTGCCCTTGGGTTTAATTTCTAGTACCAAAAAAAAAAAGTACTTGGTACTTAGAAAAGCTTATGAAGCAGAAATTATCAGGTTTACAGGGTCAGTGATCTTACTTGCAACTTTGGCTTTTATAACCACTGTTTACCCTTCCTCTAGACCCCCTATATAATCAGCATAACGTGAGCTACTTCTGACTTCAGAGTAAAAATAATGGAGAAAAGTCACAAAATGAAGATAAATTCCACTACTTGTTTGCCCAACCCCATTCTGACTCTGTTGCTGGTAAAATGGAATGGTATTTTGTTACTAAGCCTGGCACACATTTTCTACAAGACTAGGCCTGTCCTTTAATTTGCATAGGATGTAAGGATTTTATAATCCAGGAACTTTAAAAAATAGTTTCGGTCACAGTTACAGGTTTTTTTTTTTTTTAGTTATCGGTGGATCTTTATTTTTTATTTATTTGTATGTGGTGCTGAGAATTGAACCCAATGTCTGACACGTGCTAGGGAAGCGCTGTATCACTAAGCCACAATCCCAGTCCCACAGTTATAGTTTGAGCTTAAAGGAGTTACTGGAGTTCAATGTAATTTTTTTTTTTAAAGAGAGAGTGAGAGAGGAGAGAGAGAGAGAGAGAATTTTTTAATATTTATTTTTTAGTTTTCGGCGAACACAACATCTGTTTGTATGTGGTGCTGAGGATCGAGCCCGGGCCGCACGCATGCCAGGCGAGCGCGCTACCGCTTGAGCTACATCCCCAGCCCTCAATGTAATTTTTTTTTTTTTTTACTAGTTACATAGACATGTGCTTTTTTTTGGATCAGGTTAATTTTTGTTAATTTAATACCATCTATCATCTATGCAAACTTCTTTATTGTTATCCAGATGGCCAGAGTGGAGGTGCCTGCACAGAGTTGTGGTCTTAGGGTTTGGATTAAAAAAGCATTCACTGTTACCTATTTAGTCTACATCTGGTTAGAACGCATAGTGGTACATCAAGCTAAACTTACAACACAGATCATTTTGTTTTAGTAAGAGGGCTTATTATTTCTCAAGTTATGTGTCTAGGCTCATTTACCAGGTTAGAAGAATGTTTGGAAGATTCTTTGGACTCTGAATCAGCCCTTTCTGCTTTAATCCCATTATTATATCAAGAGCCACACAAAGCCACTTGTTAGGTTGTGTTGTAATTGCCAGAACTCAATTTCTGACTCATCTTTCCTTTTTGCTTTCTTGTTTCTTCATCTTAAGCATAAAGCATCTTTTTTCCTTTTTATTTACTTATTTTTTCATTTCACTTTCTTCATAATAGGGATCAAACTCATAACCTTGTACATGCTAAGCATCCGTTTCACCTCTAAGCTACATCCCCAGCCCTGTTTTTAAATTTTGAGACAATATCTCTTTTGTCCATATTGGCCTGGAACTTGGGATTCTCCACGCTCAGCCTCCTTGCATGGTCTGCCTTCTCTCAGCCAACATGGAATAGCCAAGATCATAAGGAGGAATTCTAGAAAGCTGTTACGATGATACTGTCTTTTGGCCTTGCCAATTGCACCCCTTAGAACATTCATTACTGAATGCTTCACCTGCAGCAGAAATAAGACTGGTGGTGCCAGGAATGGTGGCACAACTCTGTATTCCCAAGACCCTCAAAGTAAAGTAAAAAAGGGCTGGGAACGTAGTTCAGTGGTAGAGCACTTGGCTAACATGTGCAAGGACCTGTGTTCAATGCCAGTACTGCAAATAAAAAGAGTAAGTGCATAAAGGTGGTGAGAGCTAATATGATAGGTTTTCTTGATTGCAGTTCACTTATCTGAATCGAAAAGAGATGCACCTTTACACTGTTGAGTGCTTCATTTCCAGGTATCTCGTAATTATGGTGGTAAAAGAAACTTCTCAGCCATATTTGATTTCTTAATTTTCTTATCAAGTTTTAGTACTCAAAATAATATAGTTTATTTTATCTGTTAAAATGCCAAGTCATAGTTGGGCGCAGTGGTGCATGCCTCTAATGCTGAGATAGGAATATTATAAGTTTAAAGCCAGCCTCCGCAACTTATCAAGGTTCTAAGCAATTTAGTGAGACCCTGTCTCTAAAAAAAATATAAAAAGGGCTGGGGATGTTGCTCCATGGTTAAGCACCCCTGGGTTCAATCCCTGATTCCAAAAAATAAGAAGTAATTCAAGGCCTGTTATATGTTCTGCAACTTTCTGCAAAATATTCATATGTAATGTTTCGTTTTCCCACAGCGCATGGATTTAGGAGAATGTACCAAGATCCACGACTTGGCCCTCCGAGCAGATTATGAGATTGCAAGTAAAGAAAGAGATCTGTTCTTTGAATTGGATGTAAGTGTTATTTGGTGTTCATTCCTACTATAAAGAACCAAATGTAGAATAAGAATAATGTAGTATTCCTAAATTAGTAAGCAAAATTATTAAATAGGCACTTGTTATCATTCTTTTTTAGCAAAGTACTATATCTGTTTGTTTATTATCCTATTAACTATCCAGGATTTTGTATGTATGATTTTCTTTCAAAAACATTATTACATATTTTTATGATTCTAGTTTGTTTTGAGCTTTGTAAATATGGTTTCAAGCATGCTTATAAACCAACTACTTGGGATTGGGATTGTGGCTCAGTGTTAGAGCGTTTGCCTAGCACATGCGAGGCCCTGGTTCAATCCACAGCACCACATAAAAATAAATAAATATCTTTATTGTGTCTAATTACAGCTAAAAAATAAATGGAGGCTAAGTCGGGAGGATCCCAAATTGAAGGCCAAACTTGGGCCAACTTAGCGAGAACCCGTCTCAAAATAAGAAAAGGGCTATAGCTCAGTGGTAGAACAGCCCTGGGTTCAATCCCAGTACTGCAAAAAAAGGTGAGGCGAGTAGTGCTGGGAATGTACTTCTGGTGTGAATGAACCCCTATCTTGATTTGAATTTTTTTCCCCATTCAGCATTACATTTCTGCTTACCTCTGTTGTTGGGCATGGTTTATTTTTTCATTGCTGCTCTAAAAACTGTCTTTATTCATAAACATTTGGATTGATTCTAGATTTCCTATAAATAATAATAGGAATTTTTAAAATAGCTTCTTGGTTGCATGTATGGGGATTTAGATAGGGTATATTCCTAGCAGTGGATTTTCTTCTTGCTTGTACCCCTAATATCCGTGCATATACCCCTGCCAATACTTGGGTATTATCAGATTACTAAATTTTTGCAATTAAGCAGTTGTAGAATGGCAACCATTGTCTTGAGACTTAGGGTTTCAGAAACAGATAAGTTCTATAGGTTTATAGGTTGGAGTCCTCATTTTAGTAATGAATCTCTTTGAATCATAGATTTTATTAGCATTTTAATTAAACCAAATGTCAATGCAGTTTTTAAATGATGATGAAATTAATGCTAAAAAAGAAATACATTAATGGAAGAAACTAAGATTACAGAAAATAACTGAAATGTATAATAATTTGGTTTATTATGAAGCGAGTGTTTTCCACCAGTGTGGAATACAAAGGTTATTCAGTGAACAATGTTGAAAACTCTGGGTTAGCCATTTGGATAAATAACAGGTTTGATGATGTGATTTCTGTCATCTTGTCATGTTACAAAACCCAGAAAGTGGGGTTGGGGTTGTGGCTCAGTGGTAGAGCGCTCACCTAGCACATGTGTGGCCCTGGGTTCACTCCTCAGCACCACATATAAATAAACAAACATAAATAAATAGAATAAAGATATTGTGTCCAACTACAACTAAAATAATAATAATAATAAAAATAATAATAATATCTCAGAAAGTTAAAAGAGAAAGCTAGGCACCACTATCTATTTAGAAACTCAAAATACTGACATACCAAAATTCCCAAACACTCCCAGTGACTGAGGAGGTTAAAGCAGGAGAAGTTCACAGCCAACCTCAGCAACTTAATGAGACCCTGTCTCAAAATGAAAAAAGGGGGCAGAGGCTGTAATGCAGTGGTAAAGCACCCTTAAGTTCAACTCCCACTCCCACCAGAAAATAAATAAATGAAATTCCTTTATGTTGGGAGAGATGGTGAGATGTCACTCAAAAGGTACAAACTTTGTTGTAAGATGAAGGTCAGTGAACTAGAACAAATTATTTTCAGTATGTATAAAGACGGACTGTTTTCTTTATATGAAAATTTTTTGGATAAGAACAGCATCAGTAGCTCAACTGGACGTTTCCTAGGATGGAGAGTTAAGTGGTTCTAATCTGCCTCTAGGCATCCCAGCAGTGGAGTTCTCAGAGTGTGTCTGACTGGTACACTTGGATATGCTCAAGGATACACTTGCTCCAGAATATTCTTCAGGATATATATGCTCCATTATAACTGCAGGAGGCAAAGACCCATGGCTTCCTTGGTAAGGGAGTGGTACTGTCCAGCTCTTCACGGAGGGATGATACAGAACTGTGAAAGGAGAGTGGTGTCCTTTGGTGTGTGTTGATGTGAGCCTTCAGGTAGTGAGAAGAGTGTGACAGGATACTTTCTTAGTTGTTTTTTTGGGGGAGCTGTGTGTGGTTTGTTTTGTGATGCTGGGGCTTGAATCCAGGACCTTCTGCATGCTAGGCAAGTACATTGAGCTACACCCCCAGCCCTTGTAATTTTTGTTTTGAGACAAGGTCTTGCTAAATTGCTATGGCTGTTAAGTTGCAATCCTCCTGCTTCAGCTTCCAGAGTAACTGGGATTACAGATATGTGCCACTGTGCCTGGCTCCTTTAGAGCTTTTCTATATCCTGCATGGGCAGACCTTCCTCATTCTTGTTTATTAGTATATTTTTGCAATCTAGTTCTCCTGCCTCAGCCTCCTGAGTAACTGGAATTACAAAGGTGCTTGGTGTTTTTTCAAAGGAAGGAGTTGTGTACTTGTTGATGTGCTTTATGTGCAGATACTGCTTTTAGTGGAACACCAGAGGTTGCGGACATTTGTCTTGGGAGAGTGGCTTGGAAGGCTAGGGCAGATCAGTAACCTCTGTGTACTGTGTGAAAATTACTTACTCAATTTAAAAAGTAACCTCCCTGCACCTCCCACAACTACTTACAGACCATTTTTGACCTTATACGTGGCTCATTCAAATGTTTGATCACCAGTGCTGCGAATGAAGAGTAAATGGGAATAGCAGAGTGTGCAGGAGGGCAGTCTGTCCTGGCATTGTCAGCATATGAGATGGAGATACTCTTGGTTCCACAGCTCTCCTGCTGGGAGTGTATCTTAGATAGTGTCTTCATAAAGACATAATTTATGTTATGTACCGTTAAGATTTATCCTGCTTTGGGGCTGGGGATGTGGCTCAAGTGGTAGTGCGCTCGCCTGGCATGCGTGTGGCCCGTGTTCAATCCTCAGCACCACATACAAAGATGTTGTGTCCACTGAAAACTAAAAAATAAATATTAAAAAATTCTCCCTCTCTCCCTCGTCTCCCTACTTCCCCCTCCCTCCCCCCTCTCAAAAAAAAAAAAAAGAAAAAAGATTTATCCTGTTTTGCTACATGGCATGGTGGCACATCCCCTTAATGATATTGACTCTGTCACTGAAGCAGGAGACCGAGACAGGAGGATCACAAGTTCAAGGCTGGCCCAGACAACTTTTAAATTTCTCAAAATTTAAAAAGGGCTGGGGATTTAGCTTGGTGGCAGAGTACTTGTCTAGCACCCATGAGGCGGTGGGTTCCATTCCCAGCACCACCACAAAAAGAAAAAAAAGATTTACCTTACCCTGCCTTTAAATTCTTAAATTGTACCTGTCAGTAGTGTTTGAATATGCTTGAGTTACTATTGTAGTGAAAGTGAAAGGTAAAATAATTTATTTCCTTAGTTAATGCAATATAAATTCAAAAGGAAAATAATAGTGTTTTTTCCAAGTTATTTGTTAGTTGGAATGTGTTGGTTAAATTAATTTGATGAAAGTGATTTTAAATTTTTTGGTAGGTATAGGTGTTCACTGTAAAGGATTTCAGAGCACTTGAGAGGTCGTCTGTAGAGGTTCTCCCTCCCTCACTCCCTAACTTACATGGCCTGTTATAAGTGCCTCTCTCTTGGTCTACTGTTTCTTTGATGGGGCATTCATAATGAGTAAAGCACATGTATTCATCTTTGAAAATGCAGAGAAACTTTTTACATGTTGCTTTTTGTATAAGTGAGATTGTCAGTTTCGTATTTCATCCTCATGTATAAATAAGTTAATCAGAAAGTGATTGCAGGAAGCAGAATGCCTCAGGAACTCTGGCTAGGTAGTGAGAAGTAGAGTGTGATAGGATACTTTCTTAGTTGTTTTTTGGGGGAGCTGTGTATGGTTTGTTTTGTGATGCTGGGGCTTGAATCCAGGACTTTCTGCATGCTAGGCAAGTACACTGATTCTTGCCCTTGCACCCTGCTGCTACTGTGTTCTGATACCTGGTGTTGGCACGACATTCCCAGCCTTTCCTGTGGCCCGTGGAGGAGCATGATCTGAGTCCCAGGCTTAGTACCAGCAGTTCCCTCATGTTCAGATTGACAGGTTGATTTTTTGAACCATTGTTTTGTGGTCCTTGCTTCTCGGAAAAGGATACAGGTTATCAAGTTATGGGCTGTCAGTAATCCATGATTTGTTCAGATTGAGTGTATTTGGGTAGGAGGTACTAGGACTGAACCCAGGGTGCTTTACCATTGAGACACTCCCGTAGTTCTTCTGATTTTTTTTGTGGGGAGAGCATATTGGGGATTGAACTCAGGGGCACTCGATCACTGAGCCATGTCCCCAGCCCTATTTTGTATTTTATTTAGGGTCTGAGTTGCTTAGCACCTTGCTTTTGCTGAGGCTGGCTTTGAAAATGCAATTCTCCTGCCTTCTGAGCCACTGGGATTACATGGTGTGCACCACTGTGTCCAGCCTTTTTTTTTTCTTAGTTGTAGTTGGACACAATACCTTTATTTTATTTATTTTTATGTGGTACACATGCTAGACGAGTGCTCTACTGCTGAGCTACAATCTCAGCTCTCCACTTTTGATTTTTGAGATAGAATTTTGCTAAGTTGTAGAATATGGCCTTGAATTTAGGATCCTCTGCTTCAGTCTCCCAAATAGCTGGGATTATAGGCATGTGCCCCCATACCTAGCTAATTTAGATTTTTCTAAAGAAGTTTGAAGCCATATGGGACATATTTGTGTAGCTTGTCAAATGTTTGAGTATTATTTTTTTCATTACTGAAATAATTCTGTGAGATACACATTGATCTGCAGTGTATCTGAAAGTGTTGAATTTCTTTCTGCCATAATTCATGAAAGCAGCATGGTACAACCCTTGGGAAGAAATCAGATTCAGTTCTGTGGGTCACTC